GTAATGCGGCTGGGTCCGAGGACCAACACGCTCTCGCCTCAGTAGGGCGTGGGAGCGACGCGGCAGGCTGCTACCGCCTGTTTGTTGCCGAGGCAGCGAGTGAGGTGGGTAAGGTAGCCGGGTGCCTGTGCGTACGTGTGTACGGCCATCCAGCCAACCCGGAAGCCAGCAAACAAAAGGAAACTTAGAGTACACAGGCGGGGCTTCTCCGTCAGCCAGCCGCCCCACGTGCTGTAGATCGCGAAGAGGTAAGTTCCGAAGTAATGGTGACGCGTCCTGTACTACAGTGATATACGCAAAGCCAGCTTCGAAGCCAATCCATCACATAACGTGTTGGTAATGTAACCTGTTGGTCCAGCGATGCCGGCCTTTGTTGGCTTGATGCATGTTGGTTGATGGTGGTACGTTGGCAAGGCTGGCAGATTGCGAGCCGGGGCAATCCTAGATGTGACTTCACCCTGGAGATTGGCTGCCCTCCAATAGGAATGCATCCAGAAGTCATGGACCAACAAATAGCGCAAAGTTCACTCCGAGCCATATTCACGTTCATCCCCTCAGACACAAAAGATAAGGCGGACTCAACCCTCCCTGTGTGGTTGTCAGTGTGGCTGGTGACTGTAAAGTGTTGCTCATGGAGCTCTTCAGGCTAGAGTTGCGGGAGGGTGCGGCTGCCGAACCCAGTCGAGTGCTTCCGCATCCAATCGAGCCTGTGGATTGATCGAAAACGCGAAAGTACCTCCGGCGTTCGCGGGAACGTTCACTGTGCTACAAGCCGAGGCCGACTGTTCAACATTCCGTCTCTCTGGGGTCGATCAACCTGCCATGCTAGCGCAATGGGCGATGAGAAACTGCGGCGGGTGAAGTCCACGGGATCAGAAATTGTCAGGTATCGGCCTTCGTCAACCTCTTCAAAAAGCCCGAGCTGCACCCACGGCGTGAAGGATTGGTGGTGTGGGGCAGAGACATTTTGATGACAGCTTGGCGCGTACCTCACCAATTACGGTGGTTTGTTCTCCGAAGGGTCGCATCGGGCGAATCCTGAGATGAGCTGGCCAGGGCCTGCAGGACGAGGTGCATTAGTTAGCAAGTAAAGCCAGGCAACAGCCATGCACTGCGCCTGACTCGGAGTGCTGCACTTTGCTTGCGACGAAGACGCTTCGGCTCTCAGCACCGCCCCGGCGTTCTTTCCATTTGCATCAACATATTCATCAATGCCATGGCTGAACTCTTTGGCATTGTTTCAGGCTCTTTGAGCGCCGCAGCGCTATTCAATAACTGTGTCGACTGTTTTGAGTACATACAGCTTGGCCGCAAGTTCGGCAGCGACTACGAACGATGCCGACTGAAGCTTGATGTCGCTAGGTTACGTCTCAGTAGATGGGGCGAGGCCATCAGAGTCAACGATGACCCTCGATTTGCAAGTGGCACGCCGGACGATAACGATTCTCGCGAGGGCCGGGTCATCCTTGAAGAGCTTGAACTGCTCTTTCAAGCTGCACAGAGGTCATCAGAGCGATACGCGAAGCGGGCACAACGGGAGGAGTTGGTGGCGTTCAAAGATGAAGATATGGACGAAATTGCCCAAGGTTTGCACAACCGGCTTGGGCTGATCGCTCGCCAAAGACAGGCGCGCACTAGTCTCATGAAGAAAGCAAAGTGGGCTTTGTACGGTGCCAAGGAGTTCGACAGGCTACTCGACCAGATCGCGTCATTCCTAGACGACCTTGAGAATTTATTTCCGGTTGAAACCGCAAGCCGACGGCTCATGGGCCTCGAAATCGAACAAGTGGCGGACAAAGCGAGTTTGTTGGCACTCCGAGATGCAGCCACCGGCGCCGACGGGGCCTTGTCCGATGCTGCTGCACAGAAGTTGGAAGGCATGACTGGGAGGAATCATGCGAGGGACATCAAGACCGAAGAGACGGCAAGGGTGCTACTCGGGAACACTTGGAGTGAACCGGCCTTGAGCGGGGGATCGAGCATTGCGGATCAAACGATGAACACTGCCGGCTCCATCACAGCAAGAGGGGGGTCAGCGGTTCAGGTCGGCAACCAGTATGGCGGCCGGGGTTTCTTCCACTCGTAGACCATAGACTTACGCTGCGGTGCTACTAGAACGAGCTGCCCGCTGCGAACACGAGATACTGATGCGTGGGAGCTAACGTTCACGCTGATTGCACGATCGTGTTGCTCAAAACATAACCAAGCGGCTTATGGGCCAGTTGATTCTGCTCCGATGATACAGAGTTCGTCATATTCCACCCTTGCAGCAGCGTCGCACGGAGATTGCGCCGAGAATATATCGCAACTGGGTCGAGCCCAAGCGCCCTGCTGGGTAAGATGTCACGTGTAGCGGTCTTACCCTACCGACAAATAACAGGGAAGAAGGCAGATTAAATCCCTCAGCAGCCTTGAGGTGTCGGCCAGAGACAGTCCGACATACGTTGGTCGTGGGTTGCGCATATCGTGACTCCAGGCTACGAAATATGAATTTCGTGGGCTCGCTGACGGCCGATGGCCAGAGTAACAACCATATCGGAGATGTCATTAACGTTCATTTCTCCGGTAAGCACGGCCAGCAATGCGTACCAGAAAGAAGTCTGACAGTGGCAGGAACACCCGACAGCGAACTACTCAGCAGCCTCTACGTCACCGATCCATCAAATGACCTGCAGTCTCTCAAACGGAAAAAGGGAAACAGAGTCGAAGGTACCTGCGAGTGGATCCTTACGACTCCACAGCTTGTCAAGTGGATAGATATCCCGGATGATTCTTCCGTGGAACCTGTGTCCCGCATACTGTGGCTCCATGGGAGACCTGGTCAAGGGAAGTCGACATTGGCTATGTACATCACGGAGGCATTGACCGCATCGTTCAAAGATGATTCGACGAAAGCATTGAGCTACTTCTTCTGCGACGCAAGTTATGCCACTAGGACAACTGCCAACTCCATTCTTCGAGGGCTACTGTGGCACTTCTACACTTCGGATCCTGAGCTCATCCCGGCTTACGCGAGACAGCGTTACAGCCAGCTCAGAGACAAGTTATTTCGCGACTTCGACTCCCTTTGGACCTTGTTCTTGGAAACGGTCGCAGCGAACGCTTCTCGCCAGTTCTATTGCATAATTGACGCATTGGATGAATGTGGCGAAGAGTCCAGGGTCGATATTCTGCGGCAAATCGAACAAACTTTTGGAACTGGCCATGGACCAACAAACTTGCATTTTCTACTTCTCAGTAGGCCTTACGCTTACATCCGAGACTATCTTGGCCAATTCGAAAGCCTAGACCTTGCGTCTCTCCCTCAGGTCAAGAAAGATGTTAGGCAGTACATCAGTCTCGAGCTAGAGAAGCTCACCAAGCTGAAACAATATCCTTCAAGTCTTAAAGAAAAGGTCAGATCTGCTTTGGAACGAAGGGCTGAAGACACTTTCCTCTGCGTTGGCTTCACCTGCCGCGAATTGCGGCCCATTCCTTCGATCGATGTGCTTGACTTTCTCAAAGGGTTGCCCGCAGAACTAGAAGGGTCTTACCAAAGGGTTTTCGCCTCCCTTCTTGACCCTAATAAGCCCAAGGCTGCTGACGTACAAAGAATGCTGACGATTGTGGCAACCTCTGCACATCCACTGACAATATTGGAGTTGGCTGACGCTTGCGGTTTCGATGTGGACGAAGATATCGAAACCAGAATGCAATATATGCGCGACCGGGTAAACCACTGCCTCTTGATCATCGATATCGTACCAGATGGGGACGACAGTCAGGGCAACACTATCTGCAATCGGCTGAGTCAATTCAGCATGGGAGCTCAGTCCCGAGACGAACGGGTTGTTCTCTTGCATCAGACAGTGAAGCAGTTCATGTTTACATCAATACCTGGACTTTTCAACGGCGGCAAAGAACAGTCACATGCTATCACCGCCTATGGATGTCTCGATAAGGTTGTTACCTGTTTATCGGAGAGCCGGGGCTTCCGGGAACACGGCGGTTGGCTCAGATACGCGATCCATTACTGGCCTTATCACGCTCGACTCGCTGGGGCGTGTTTTCAAGTTCAAAAGGCCCACGAGCCATTGTTTCTGGATCCGTCACCACTGCGACGCAAATGGCTAACATGGGTGGGCGGCTATGACCCCGACGTGGTCATTGCTGGGCATTCGACAGGGCCGGCCTTGCCCGTTCTGAACGTGGCGGCCCTATGGGGAATCCCAAGTCTAGTCGACTATGTTTCTGGCCGAGCCTCCCCGGGTTTGCAAGTCGATCTCGCGCAGCGTGATCATGACGATATCATTACCTCTGTGCAATCACCATTAACAGACGCTGCGGTGGGAGGTTCAATCAACACATTTCGAAAGCTCCTAGAGCTTGGCATCCCACTGACGGAGGAGACTATTGCCTCTGCTGCAATGCAGGGGAAAGGGAGGATATTGCGCACACTACTGGAATCCCGAGGCGACGAGATCAGGCAGCGAAGCGACCTAGCCAACTGTGCCGCTACGTATCTCAGCTCCAGCGAAATGGCCTTCACTGTGGATCACCCAGATTTTACGATAACAGAACCACTATTCTATGGTGCCATGGTTAACGAAGATCATGGCCATGAGGTGCTTTCGATGTTGTTATCCCGCACCCCTATAGACGCCATCTCAGCCAAATCGCTGCTCGAACAGACAATTGAAGACTCGAGCGTGGAGTCAGTCAGGTTCCTGACGGACTATTTTGGCAATCGTCTTGCGATAGAGACACCAATGGTGTTGAGGGCCGCCGAAAACATCTCGTACGGGCCTGAGATTATCAAACTCTTATGCGAGCGTTACCCTGATATCAAGTTATCCGACGACATCATCATAGCCATCTTGAAGTTGCACGAACTTGAGGCATCCCACATCCATGATGTGTTGAAGGTGCTGTTCAAGTTGCTTGGGCCGAACTTTCGAACCACGAAGCAAATTTTGCTACATGCTGCTCAAGCCGAGTTTGAGTTTGACGACGAAGCAGTTGTAGTCGAACTCGTTCTGGATCATGCCAATAATAGCATGGAAATCACACACGACATCTTCATGGCCATGGCGCAAAACTCGAATGCAGGGGAATCCATTCCGCTGCTTTTCAATCGCTACGGAGCCATGATAGACCTCAGAGACGATATTTTACGTGCTGCAATCCCTCATTTGCCCGCAAAACAATTATCCTCTGTATTGGCTGCCGCCGGCATCCTAATAACTGAAGAGATTGTTGCCGTTGCTGCAGAGCACTGGAGTCGAATCCAGTTTGCAGAACTTCTACAAAACGTGGACTCGCACATTCAGGTTACTGACAAGATCCTGGTTGCTGCTACTCATAATGCAAACTGCGGACATTACATTTTGCTTACCTTGTTCAGGAGACAGGCTCAAAATGACACAGTCAGCATCAAAATACTCGAAGGTGCCTTAATGAGCACTAATGAGGCCATCATGTCCGTCATACTCAAGCGACGAGGAGAAGCAATTCATCTCGACAAAGAATTGATACAAGGGTGGCTGCGAAGCGAGCAGACCTCCGGGAAAGCATTGAAATTCTTGTTAGAATACAAAACAAGCGAAGTGAACAGCATTGTCGACACGATGTCTCCCGAAGAGCAGGTCGAATTCATGGAAGAACGCTCGAAACTCTTTAAGCGTTTTGAGCACGACTCTTGGGACGACGTGTTTTGGGTGGAGGGGGCGAAGGGATGAGGCTGTAGAGTGCCATGAGGACAATATCGTGGGCATGCCTTGACTTGCTACGCCTCCACTGCCTCAGCCGACTCCGTCCCGAGTTAGATCCGTCGATCATTCGACAATCGACGCTTTTGCAACCATAGCACGCTGTGCTGATGCTAGAATAATCCCCATTTATGTCTGCGTCCGTCGTTGCACCGAAGCAACACGATGTCTCTAGGGATGGCGTCAGTACATCTTCCGCGTTGGATTGCTTCTCATTGATATGGAACGCATCGGCGCACCTTTCTCGAAGGATCACGTTCAGGTCGCCAAGATTGCCACATGGGGTTACCTGAGGCCAATCGGTTGAATGCAGCAGATCTGATCCATCTTGATTACTCGCTAGCGTCGTATCCCGATTTGTACTCAAACACAATAGTTGTTGATGATGCTCGAGACTGTGCTCGACCTCGTCGGCTGCACAGGACGGTCATGCTCGCTCGCCTGTCGCAGCGCACCACAGAGAGCACGCAGGCAGGCTGGGCAGACGAATGGCGCGACTTTCAGCTTCTGCAGAGCGGGGGAGCGGCACCAAAGGCGCGAAGGATTCTTCGTGTGGGGGCACTGTACGGTTCAATCTCACCCTCGGCGCCTAGACCGCCAATCACTGGGACGTGCTGTGCGTTACCACAGACAGGACTGCCAGCTGCGTTTTCTGTTACATGGTACGAATCCTGAGACGAACTTGCCAGGTGGCGCCGGCGAGACAGCATGCTGCTGCAGCTTGGGAGTAGGCTTGCCAGGGGCGTGCTCCGGCTGGCAACGTTCCCCGTCTCACGTGTGGCAATCAACTCAAATGCGATTGTGGCCGAGGTCTACGGGTTTTCTTTTGTGCAGCGCGCCCGTACTGATCAACTTCGTCGACTGGTTTACACACAGCATTCAGCCATCGTTCTGGCAATGACCATGAACAACGCCAACTTAGACTCGAAGATGCCCAGCCATGCCTCAGTAATCGGCTAACAAGTGCGAATGTATTAAGCCAGTGTATCCATTCCACTCCTAAGATTGCACCATTCGTTACTGTAAACGATAATCGACGTGGTCGCTAGTGAAATTTAGAAATAAATCGGAATGGTACCCCTGTCGTTGCTGCCGCGTTGCACAGTCAAATGCGACTGCCGGTGGGCTCCGACGCTGCAGCACGAGGCAGGGGCAAGTAGGTGTTAACAAACCCTTTGCACAACCAGCTATCACGTGCGGGCTAGCCCATTATCGATTGAAAAGAGGAGCGGAAGATTTAAATCCCTCATTATACTTTTTGCCTTCGGCGGGCGAGTGTCTTGACTGCATCAGCTACACGTAGGCATTGTTCGCTGGGTCGGTGGCATCACGCGCGCTTTCTGCAAGACGAAATGAATTCCGTATCATCGCTGATGGTCGACGGCCAAAGCACTGCTCAGGTCGGGAATAATTTCATTTTCAACTTGACTGCGCCTGGTAAGGCCAACTGTTCTTGAAATGGCTCTTGATCTAATAACAATAAGGCGCGTGTCAGGCCGACAACGAAGCGTCATTCCAGGTCGACTATTCTTCACTTCTTGGGCATTTGTATGTTACCGACCCATTCAATGACCTTCAGGCTTTGAAGCGAAAAGTCGATCGAGTCCAAGGCACGTGCGAATGGGTTTTGAACATACCAAGCCTCCAAGCATGGATGAACTCCCCAGACGATTGCTACGCCACGGAGGCAAAATCGCAGGTCCTCTGGCTCCACGGAAATCCTGGCCAAGGGAAATCGACGATGGCGACTTACATCATAGAAACATTATCCACTTGCATCTCGGCAGATGCGAAGAGATACCTGAGCTATTTTCTCTGCGACTCGAACTATGCAATCAGAACGTCTTCCAAATCCATTCTACGCGGACTTTTATGGCAGCTGTGGAATTCTTGTCCAGAATTAATTCCAGAGTACGCCAGGCGGCATTATGATCAGCTCAGGAAGAACCTATTCGACGACTTTGATCACCTCTGGACCCTCTTCATGGAGACGGCGAAAGCGAACGACTCCTGTCAGCTTTACTACATCATTGACGCACTGGATGAATGCGACGAGGCGTCTCGAGACGACCTTCTCTACCAGATTGAGCACATTTTTTCAGGATCGGCTCGTACACCTTCCAATATCAACTTCCTGATTCTCAGTCGGCCTTACGTTCAAATTCGAGACTATCTCGGCCAATTCGACAACCATAGCATAGCATCGTTTCCTCAGCTGCAGCGTGATATCGACCTCTACATCGACCATGAAGTAGAGAAACTGGCCAAGATGAGACGATACCCGAGAGTGCTCAAACAAAAGCTTAGTCATGCTCTAAGTACGAGAGCCGAAGAAACATTTCTATGGGTCGGCTTAGCCTGTCGGGAGCTGCGACGTATTCCCTCGGCCAATGCGCTGGAGTTTCTCGAGCGCTTGCCCCGGCAGCTGGAATCAATTTACTCACAAATGTTTGATTCCATTCTCGGCCCCGACGCCCCTGACGCCGCCGATACCACGAAGATCTTGTCCTTCGTGGCTACTGCTGTGCGCCCGTTGACTCTGCTGGAGCTATCTGAGGCATGCGCTTTCGACACGAACGAAGACGATGTCGAAGCTAGGACACAGTACTTGCGCGATCGGATTGAAAATTGTCGCCTAGTAATTGATATCGTCACAGTCAGAAACCGTGACTTCCTTGATGGGTTACAGGACTGGAGCGACAGCGACGACTCGACCTCAGAAGCCTTGCTCGAGAGTGAACGAGTGGTTCTATTACACCAGACCGTGAAGGACTATCTCTTCACATCGCGGCGGGAGCAGCTTAATGGCGGCGAACAACATTCACATGCCATCATGGCTTACAGGTGCCTCGACCAAATCAACAACTGCATGCCAGAACGAGGTTTGGCTGGCTATGGCAACTTCTTACGGTATTCAATCGAGTACTGGCCTCAGCACGCGCGGCTGGCCCAATCGTCATTTCACGTTCAAGACAATCACGGTTCCTTCTTTTCAGACCCGTCTCCAGTACGAGATAAATGGCTACTTCAGAGGAATGACGGTCAGCTTTTCAGTATTTGGAGCTCAGCAAAACACGAGCTGCCACTTTTGAATGTGGCTGCTTTATGGACTATTCCTAGCTTAGTCGACCATGTCTCCCAGAGAAGCTCTCGGGGAGTCACATTCGACGTTAAGCTGGATGACGGAGAAGAAGAAGGATCCCTGACGAAATCTCCACTAACGGATGCCGTACAAGGCGGCTGCGTATACACATTTCAAAAGCTTCTACACTTTGGCTTGCCACTCACCGAGTTAGCCATCGAATCTGCTTGGACATTTGAGCGAGAGGCAATAAAACGCACCATACTACAAACCAGGACACACGAAATTGTCCAGCAAGCCGATCTGCAAAAGTCTGCCGCAAAAGTTTTCAATGCTGGGGAGATGCGTATTCTCATGGATCATCCCGACTTCACCATCTCGCAATCAATACTACACGGTGCTATGGCCAATGAGAATCATGGTCTTGAAGTGCTTGAGTTGATTGTGGCCCAGTCTGGAATTGACCCCAAGATTCTCTTGCAGCGCACTATCACAGAGTCTACCACCGCGTCCATTGAGTTTCTCATTGATCGGTTTTCGCTTAACCTTAACGGCGAACAGTCTCTGATTGCAAAAGCTGCCGAAAATTGGGAGTCTGGCCCAGCGATAATTAATCTTCTCTTTCGCCGTTTCCCCAATATCGAGATAACTGACGACATTATTCTCGCTATCGTCGAGTTGGGCGATTTCAGTGAGCAACACATCTCTGAGACCTTGAAGATAATCTTCGACAAGCTTGGGCCAAAACTTCAAATAACGAATCGGGTACTTTTGGGTGCCGCCCGAGCCGAGATGCCCGATGAAGATTTTGGAGATGTCTTCAAAATTGTTCTACAGCATGCCAGCGAGGAACTCGCAATTACACACGAGGTCGTCATGTCTGTGGCTCAGAACCCAAACGCATGGGCTACTATGCCACTGCTCTTGAGTAGCCGTGAAGCAGAGATTTGCATTACAGAAGACATTCTATGTGCTGCAATCCCAAACATGGAAAATTCATACTCAGCTCTGCTCTGCAATGCAGCCAAGCACTCTATAAAAATCACCGAGAAAGCCATAGCGGCTGCTGCAAGAGAGTCTGATAGGGAAGGTTTCTTGCAGGTATTGAATGCGGCCGACGCCAATTCCCGCATCACCCAAGATGTTCTTCTTGCCGCTGCCGCTAATGACGGCAAAAACGGGGTACAAATCATGTGGCTTCTGCTGCATGAATCTATGAATGCGGATGAAATTGGCAACGAATTAGTTGATGAGGTTTTGCTGGGTGACAAGTGCGACATCATGTCCGTTATACTCAAACGGCGTGGCGCGAGGATTCGCCTAAGTAAGGGTCTTGTCCAGGGTTGGATCTCCAACGAACGAACTCAAGGGAGAGCATTGAAGTTCTTGTTGCAATACAAATCAGCCGAGCTCAACAGCATCCTGGGCGCCATGTCTGCGGATGAGCAGGCAGAGTTTGTGGAACGACGGGACCGACTTTTCACGCGGTTTGAGCGAGACTCTTGGGAAGATATATTCAAGAGGCGAGGTGAATAGGCCCTGTACTATCACTAGCCACTGCCTCATCACGTGCATTATCATGACCAATAAGTACGCGTTCTTCTCGTTTGATCATAACTGTCACTGTCCCGGGTCGTCGTCTGCATGATGCGAGATATCTCGGGTCCACGCGTATGATGGCTGCGAGCCGCCCTTGGACAGTAATAATAATATGCATGTTCGAGTGTCGCACAAAGCGCCAGCTTAAAGTAGCATATCATCTGCGGTCACCAATTTGGTCGCGGAAGTCGATTCTATGTTCCTCATATGAAGCTCGAGCACCTGTAGCATGCATAGTGCTCGAATTTCGTTGGTGTCAAAGCACGCCAGCACCCCACAACCTAACAAGGGACTGAGCAAAGCGAGAATTGGTGGGCAGATGAGCCCAACACCTGCCCAAGAGCCGCCATAGCGAGCCTTATCTCGCGCCGAGGCCGAACGATATTTTGTAGCTATTTCAGCGCGGCGAATACTCTAACCGGAATGGCCAGTGAGGGGGGTCACCTTGAGAGCCCCCGTCTTTGGCGTGGGCCGCGACTTGACGCGTCTCCGATCTTGGCAACGCGTCAAACCCCTGCGACACTGGGGCTAAGACCAACGCAGTCATGACGCTCAACAATGCCAGCGAGATCAGGGCATCTGGAAATGCAAAGGTGCAAATTGGCACTCGCTTGATGTTCCAGGTACTCGACTCGGAGATTGTCATGGGGCAGAATATTTTAGCTATGGAACGCCCCGGTATGCAACTTACTTCGTGACGAGCTAGGTTTGACTGTTGCCCACAGGTACGTTGCTTTCGAAACGATCCTAACGCAACGTCGAGACACGAGACTATTCTCCAGAAGCAGATAATTCCATGGAACAACGAGGAATACCAGGTGCTCTAAGTGCGATACATTGGGTCACGGCGTAGATGATTGCTTTGCAATCCGTGCAACCATTGTTGAAGTCCGCAATCGCAGATTCGAGTCAGGACGTTGCATGCATTGTGGGTGCTTGGGAGCTGGCAGATGCAAGTTATTCAGGTGCTCGGCCTACGCCCGAGATTGTTGGCATGGGGCGGGTTACTAGTTTGCAGCTTGGCGCGTAGCCCGCCAATCCAAGGCAAATCCTACAGGTTCGCACGGGTCGCGTCCTCCGAATGGTTGCATCCTTCGAGGTGGGCTAGCCAGGGTGGCTGCAGGATGAGGCAGCATGCGACTGCTAGGCAGCAAAGCAGCGCGCGGTGCGCGAGAAGAGCGAGTAGTCTCGCCAGCGATTGAGTACCCTCGGCTTGCGACGTACCGTTCCATGCTCTCTCACTGTCGACCGTCGTGTCTCCATCCCATGATGCCAGACCATGCCTCAGTAGATTGGCCGAGGCTATTGTTGCAACAGGCCAGTTTTGGTCTTTCCATAGAATTGTAGTATCTCAGTGTGTTGTTGTCTTGAGATTGGTCAGGATCACTAGGGTGGCAAGTAGGTGGTAACAAACGCTTTCCAGAAACAGCTGTCACGTGTGGGCCGATTCGTTACCAAGAGAAAAGAGATGGGAAGATTTAAATACCTCACTATACTTTATTCCCGGCGGGCGGAGTATCTTGACTGCATCAGTTGCACCTGTTGCACACGTGCGCTCTAGCACGGCATTATGAACCTCGTGGGCTCCCTGATGGCCACTGGCCAAAGTCAAACCCATATAGGGAATATCTATAATATCAATGGTATAGACTGAGGTCCTTGCACAACAAAAACCGGACTGACAGTGATAGGAACCCCGAATGACAGCGACCTTCTCGGCGACCTTTACGTCACGGATCCATCAAATGACCTGCAGTTCTTGAAACGACGAAAAAGGAGCAGGGTCGACGGTACATGCGAATGGATCCTCACGACTCCGCAGCTCGTCAACTGGCTGAACTCTCCACGCAACTCCTCGATTGAAACCACATCTCGAATACTTTGGATACAAGGGAATCCTGGCCAAGGGAAAACGACATTGGCCACGTACATCACGGAAGCATTGACTAAGTCGTTCAGTGCCGATGCGAGCAGATCACTTGGCTATTTCTTCTGCGACACTAGCTACGCAAATAGGGCGAATGCCAATGCTATCCTTCGGGGCCTGCTGTGGCAGTTTTACACTTCGAATCCCGAGCTCATCCCGGCTTACGCGCGACAACGTTACGGCCAGCTCAAGGAAAAGCTGTTCCGCGACTTCGACTCCCTCTGGACCCTGTTCTTGGAAACGGCTGGAGCGAATTCCACCCGCCAGCTCTTTTGCATTATTGACGCGTTGGATGAGTGTGGCGACGAATCCAGAGACGATCTCCTTATTCAACTCGAACAAACTTTTGAAACCCCTGATGGACCTCCGAACATACACTTTCTGCTTCTAAGCAGACCTTACGTCCATATCCGAGATCATCTTGGCCAATTCGAAAACATAGAGCTGGCGTCTCTCCCTCAACTAAAGGAAGATGTTCAACAATACATCGACTACGAGGTGGAGAAACTCACCAAAAGGAGGCGGTATTCTAAAGCTCTCAAAGAAAAAGTCAAGACTGTTCTGGTAGAGAAGGCAGAAGACACGTTTCTTTGGGTTGGCGTAACCTGCAAGGAGTTGCAGCTGATCCAGTCGGTGGATGTGTTGAAGTTTCTTAGCCGCCTGCCTCAAAGTCTAGAGACTGTCTACTCCAGGATTTTGAACTCTCTCGTCAGCACTGATGCCCCTGGAGCCGCCGATACCAAGAGGATTCTGTCTCTTGTGTCAACGTCACTTCGACCGCTTACTTTGTTGGAGCTCTCAGAAGCTTGTTATTTTGACACAGAGGAGAACGACCATGAAACGAGGCTCCAGTCCATGCGCGACCGGATCGATAGGTGTTTCTTACTTGTCGACATCACAACGGAGAGGGGGCGCAGCTTCGACAGTCAGGACGATGATCTGGACGAATCAACCCAGCCCAATCATGAGCGAGTCGTTCTGTTGCACTCAACTGTAAAAGAGTTCTTGCTTACATCCTCTGGACTTTTCAACAGCTCGGAACACGAGAATCATGCCGCTGCAGCCAGACGGTGCATTGCTGAGCTGATCAACTACTATAGACAACGCAAGGGTCGCTCTTACCCATATGGGCACTTCGTACGATATGCAAGTACCTACTGGCCCCAGCATGCTCGCCTTGCGCAATCAGCTCTCAAGGTTACAGATGAAATTGCAATATTCTTTTCAGACCCATCGCCAGTACGAGACGAATGGCTGAGACACCGAACGAGCCGCGACGAGGCAGGCCCGCTCATGGTATGTTGGCAATCACTAGAGGAGAACTTGCCGCTTCTGAATGTGGCAGCACTATGGGGTATTCCCAGCCTGATCGATTACGCCTTTGAGACCTCTAACCAGGGCACCGGGATTAATCCTGGGCAATATCTGGATGAAGATATGTCTTCGACTTTGAAATCTCCGATATGCGACGCCATAGAGGGTCGTTGCCTTCGGACGTTAGCAAGGCTCTTGGAACTTGGTGTACCGCTGACCAAGTTTTCCATCAAATGTGCGAACCGGGCCGGAGGCGAAATTCTGAGCACGATACTCGAAGTTAGGAGAGATGAGATTGTATTAACGCCTGGTCTGCAACAATCTGCTGCTGCATGCTTCAATGCTAGCGACATGCTATCCCTTATCACTCATCCCAACTTCGAGGTCACGGCTTCAACGCTGCGCTCTATCATGGCCAATGAGGACCATGGTCATGAAATTTTTGACCTGCTCAGGGATCATCCAGAAACCGACCAGTTCTTTGATCAATCACTATTGGCAATCGCAATCACAGACTTTAGCAAGGAGATGGTGACATACCTTCTAGATCGACTTGGCGAAAATTTGGTGGTGACTGCGACCATGATTACAGAAGCCTCCAGAAACTACAAATTTGGACTGCAAATCGCCGAGATGCTCCTCGACCGTTTTGCCAACGACATCCGCATAACCGATGACATGATCCTGTCCATTATGGAGGTAAACTCAAAAGACTTCACCGACTCTTCACAGCAGGTCCACGACGTCTTGGAGCTACTTTTCGAGCGACTCGGACCAGAGTTCAAAGTTACAAAGCGAGTGCTGCTGGGTGCTGCTAGGTCAGAGTTTGAAGAAGGTGAGGCAGCAGTGGTGTTCAAGCTTGTCTTGGATCGTTTTAGCGACACTTCGCCAATCCCAGACGATGTCATCATGGCAGCAGCGAAAAACCCGAACGCATGGGCTGCTATGCCGCTACTCCTTGGCCGCCGCGACCCGGAGATATGCATTACAGAGGAGATTTTGTGTGCTGCAATCCCAAACATGTGGGACTCGTACTCATCTCTGCTACACAATGCAGCCAAGCACTCTATAAGAATAACTGAGAAAGCCTTAGCGACCGCTGCAAAGGCTTCGGATAGGGATGCTTTCTTACAGGTACTCAAAGCTGCCGACACCAATATTCGAATTACGCAGGATATCCTTCTTGCTGCTGCCAGCAATGGTAATACGAACGGCACCCAGATTATGTGGCTCCTGCTCCGAGAATCTATGTCTGCGGATGAAGTTGACACCGACATCCTCGACGAGGTTTTGCAAGGTGACAAGTGGGGCATCATGTCCGTTATACTCAAACGGCGTGGCGCGACGATTCGCCTCAGTAAGGATCTTGTACAGCGTTGGATCTCCAACGAACGGACTCCAGGGAAGGCATTGAAGTTCTTGTTGCAATACAAAACAGCCGAGCTCGACAGCATTCTGGACATTATGTCTGCGGATGAGCGGGCAGAGTTTGTGGAACGACGGGACCAACTTTTCAAGCGGTTTGCGCGAGACTCTTGGGAAGACATATTTAGGAGGCAAGCTAAATAGGCCATCTACTGTCACTGGCCACTGCCTGATCAAGTGCATTACCATGACCAATAACTAGGCGTTCTCCTCGTTTGATCATAATTGTCCCTGTCCTGGGTTCTCGCCTGCGTGATGCAAGACATCGCTTTGGATCCACGCGTGTGGCGGCTGCGATCCATGTTTGGAGAGTAATAATATGCATGCTCGAGTGAGCTAAGCTGCTGTGACTCGATCCAAGCGGATCTTGCCACATCGAGCTTCAATCTTCAAATCTCGGCCGAAATGGCGGCTAAGCTGGATTTGCTGGGAGCAGTCGACGCGGGTGTTGGACAAGGCGGACATACTCAAAGCGCTGACCACGGTACCGAAGACTTCAGCCATGCTGGTCGTGGACGATGCGTTGATTTGTGTTCTCGCTGCTTCGCTGCTTGGTGCAGGCTGTAGCACTCTGTGAAGAGGGAAGATACGGAGTAATCGGACGGATTCTGCACTACAGTGAAAGACGGAAGCTGCGGAGTAATGCTCCCACAAAGTAAGACGGGCCACAAGATCGTTGGCACGGATTTTAGGGCCTGTGCATCTCTCAGGCTCGTAAGCTGAGGACCAATGCATCTTGTAAAGTGCGACTAAGCGTGAGCCTGTGTCATAATAGCCGAGGCGGGCCGATCCACGCGCCTGCCAAACAAGGTTGGTGGGGCAAGACCAAGTGGGGTTGGCCATGGGGCCAAAGCATAATAAAAGGGGGATCAGCCCATGAGCGTCCCCGCATGCCACCAGGCATCGCTCGCTGGGTCGGTGGCATCAGGCGCGCTTTCTGCAAGACGAAATGAATTCCGTATCATCGCTGATGGTCGACGGCCAAAGCACTGCTCAGGTCGGGAATAATTTCATTTTCAACTTGACTGCGCCCGGTAAGGCCAACTGTCCTTGTGATGACTCATTGAACTAATGGCAATAAGGCGCGTGTCAGACCGACGACGAACCGTCATTCCAGGTCGATGATTCTCCACTTCTTGGGCATTTGTATGTTACCGACCCATTCAATGACCTTCAGGCTTTGAAGCGAAAAGTCGATCGAGTCCAAGGCACGTGCGAATGGGTTTTGAACATACCAAGCCTCCAATCATGGATGAACTCCCCAGACGATTGCTATTCCACGGAGTCAAAATCGCAGGTCATCTGGCTCCACGGAAATCCTGGCCAAGGGAAATCGACGATGGCGACTTACATCATAGAAACATTATCCACTTGCATCTCGGCAGATGCGAAGAGATACCTGAGCTATTTTCTCTGCGACTCGAACTATGCAATCAGAACGTCTTCGAAATCTATTCTACGCGGAATTTTATGGCAGCTGTGGAATTCTTATCCAGAATTGATTCCAGAGTACGCCAGGCGGCATTATGATCAGCTCAAGAAGAACCTATTCGACGACTTTGACCACCTCTGGACCCTCTTCATGGAGACGGCGAAGGCGAACGACTCCTGTCAGCTGTACTGCATCATTGACGCACTGGATGAATGCGATGAGGCGTCTCGAGACGACCTTCTCTACCAGATTGAGCACATCTTTTCGGGCTCGGTTCGTACACCTTCCAATATCAACTTCCTGATTCTCAGTCGGCCTTATGTTCAAATTCGAGACTATCTCGGCCAATTCGACAACCATAGCATTGCATCGTTTCCTCAGCTGCAGCGTGATATCGACCTCTACATCGGCCATGAACTAGAGACATTGGCCAAGATGAGACGATACCCGAAGGTGCTCAAAGAAAAACTTGGTCGTGCTCTACGTACGAGAGCCGAAGAAACATTTCTATGGGTCGGCTTAGCCTGTCGGGAGCTGCGACGTATTCCCTTGGTCAATGCACTGGAGTTTCTCGAGCGTTTGCCTCGGCAGCTGGAATCAATTTACTCACAGATGTTTGATTCCATTCTCGGCCCCGACGCCCCTAACGCCGCCGATACCACGAAGATCTTGTCCTTTGTGGCTACTGCTGTGCGCCCGTTGACGCTCCTGGAGCTATCTGAGGCATGCGCTTTCGACACAAACGAAGAAGATGTCGAAACTAGGACACAGTACTTGCGCGATCGGATTGAAAATTGTCGCCTAGTACTTGATATTGTCCCAGTCAAGAACCGTAACGTCCTCGATGGGTTACAAGACTGGAGCGATGACGACTCAATATCAGAAGCCTTGCTCGAAAGTGAACGAGTGGTACTATTGCACCAGACCGTGAAGGACTATCTTTTCACATCGCGACTGGAGCTTAACGGCGGTGAACAACAGTCACATGCCATCACGGCTTACAGATGCCTCGACCAGATCATCAACTGCATGCCAAAACAAGGTTTGGCTGGCCATGGCAACTTTCTACGATATTCGATCAGCCACTGGCCTCAACACGCGCGACTGGCCCAATCGTCGTTTTCAGTTCAATACACCCATGCTTCGTTCTTTTCAGACGCGTCTCCGGTACGAGATCACTGGCTTTCACAAAGAGAAGAGCGTCACGGTTGGAGCCACTGGAGCTCTCCACTGTACAGGCTGCCACTTCTGAACGTCGCGGCTTTGTGGGGCATTCCAAGTCTGGTCGACTATGCATCGCAGAGGCGTTCTCTAGGAGTCAATTTCCACATTGAGCTAGATGAAGAAGAAACAAAAGGATCCTCACTGAAATCACCGGTTACGGACGCAATAGAAGGCGGTTGCATTCAAACATTCCGAAAACTTTTACAGCTCGGTTGTCCGCTGACTGGAGGAGCTATCGAATATGCTTGGACAAAAAAGCGAGAGGCAATACAGCGCACCATACTAGAAGTCAGGAGGCATGAAATTGTGCAGCGTCCCGACCTACAAAAGTCTGCCGCTGCATATTTCGATACTAGGGACATGCTTATCCTCATGGATCATCCTGACTTCACAGTGACGGAAGCATTACTCCATGGTGCCATGGCCAACAGAAAGCATCGGTCTGAAGTGCTCGACTTACTCCTACCCCAGTCCAGAATGGACCCCAGGGACCTCTTACAGCAGGCAATTGCCGACTCAAGCATCTCCTCGGTTCAGCTCCTTATAGACAAATTTTCGCTTGATCTCAACGCAGACTCAACCCTGATTGTGAAAGCTGCAGAAAACTCGAAGTTTGGATCACAAGTAATCGACTTCCTCCTTCAGCGTTTCCCGGATATCAACATAACTGACGACATCGTTCTCGCTATCATCAGTTTAGTAGACGAAACTGGCGCGTCGTTCGTCTCCGACAACTTAGAAGTGCTCTTTGACAGACTTGGACCAAGGTTTCGAGTTACGAATCGAGTGCTATTGGCGGCTGCACGAGCCGAGCTGGATCACGACGAGGCTGAACTGGTTTTCAAAGTTGTCTTACAGCATGCCAGCGGGGAACTCGAAATTACAGAAGATGTTGTCATGGCTGTCGCTCAGAATCCAAACGCATGGGCTACTATGCCACTGCTCTTGAGTAGTCGTGGAGCAGAGTGTCAAACAATAGACCGCTCCAGACCGAGGATGCGTCCGGACCCACATGGACATCTCTGTTGTGTATATAAGAACTGGGACCTTCGTCCTCTTGACTTGGGCAGTGGTTAAGGCCAATACAACCAATAAATCTCACATTTTGACACAGAGATCTGCATCACAGAGGAAACTTTATGTGCTGCAATCCCGAACATGGACGGTGCATACTCATCTCTGCTCCGCAATGCGGCCAAGCACTCTACAAGAATCACCGACACGACCATAGCGGCTGCTGCAAGAGTTTCAGATCGTGAGAGTTTCTTGCAGGTGTTGAGAGCGACCGAAGCCAATATCCGAATTACTCAAGATGTTCTTGTTGCTGCTGCTAGCAATAACAACAACGATGGGACACAGGTCATGTGGCTTTTACTACAAGAGTCTATGAACGCGGATGAAGTCGGCACCGAAATCCTCGAGAAAGTTTTGCAGGGTGACAAGTGGGGCATCATGTCCGTTATACTCGAACGGCGTGGTTCGACGATTCGCCTAAGTAAGGATCTCCTGCAGAGTTGGATTGCTAGTGAGCGTACTTGCCGGAAAGCGTTGAAATTTCTGTTGCAGTACAAAGCAACCGAGGTTGACAGCATCTTGGAGGTCATGTCTGCGGATGAGCGGGCAGAGTTTGTGGAACGCCGGGACAGACTGTTCGAGCGCTTTGAGCGAGACTCTTGGGACGACATATTCAAAAGGCGAGTTAAATAGGCCATATACTGTCGCTGGCCTCTGCCTGGTCAAGTGAATTGCCATGATCAATGATTTGGCGGTCTCTTCATTTGATCATAATTGTCCCAGTCTTGGGTCCTCGCCTGCGTGATGCGAGACATCTCTCTTGGGTCCATCCGTGTGATGACTGCGAGCCACGCTCTTGGAAAGTATCAGTAATATGCATGCTCGAGTGAGCTGAGCTTCTGTCACTCGATCCAAGCGGATTTTGGCCACCTCGTTTCGATCTCGAAGTTTCGGCCGAAATGGCGGCTAAGCTGGACGTGCCCGGACGTGACCGCCACTCCCAACCACTCGGCCGCATTTGTCCCACCACCTCCTTCGTAAACCCAAGCACACATAACAAACACCACGCCTTGGTAGGTAACGGTGCATTCTAGACCCCTCCCATTCCATGGCCAAATGAAACGTGGCTAGTGATGGATTGCGGGCTGACATTTCACATCATGCATACGCAGCCGTCGTTTGGTGGGCAAACATTGACGACCCTGCGACAAGACTCACTTTCCACACCTGTTTTTTTTTGTTTCGGAACCAGGCCGAGTATTTATGAACCGTCGACTACTCCCGCCCTACAGCGATGAGCATGCCCATCACATCGGCCGCGTGGGGAAGGTCGACTGATTGAAAGAGCGGATTGGGACAACCAGCGGGACTTGTTCCTTGTAGGCTATGCGACGCTGTGACGGAGCAGAACTGCTCCTGATTCTTTGTATTCTCGCTAAGATTATGGCTGAAACCGTCGAAGCGTCTGCGATGGTTCAGCATGCCAGACGTCTGGCTCCCACCGCATATTACGCCGAGACGCCAGTAGCCCTAACCTGAGCTCGGGGCGGCGCCACAGGGCATCAACATTTCAGATCCAATGCATCTGTCAATATTTTCTTGCACTATCTCGGAGCTGCAGACCGGGGAT